GGTCTCACTGCCTGTCTGTGTAAATTATGGGTGCTACAGGACCCAGATTTCAGTTATTACCAACACTGTTGCTATGAGGATATCTTTTTATCTCTGAAGAGGGGATAGATGGCCGCTCTGTACAGCCCAGGGTGTGATTTTATGGGTCTTGGTTACAGACCTGCTGCTAGAGTTCTTATCTATCTCTGTGTAAACTGATGATTGGATCATCCCTTTCAGAGCATTGTTTGGTCTGGTTTTAGAGAACAGGAGTCTCTCTGGTAGGGTTATGGATGACTTCATTGTTTCACAAGTCCATGGGGGCTGTTAGAACAATCAGAAATGTGGAAACAGAGCCTCCCTGACGCATTCGCAAAATTGGACAACTGTTAGGTTCTCTTATCAGTTGTTTCACTCCATTTGCTTTTGTTTGTCGTAACAAATCCCAGGAGTAGGAGGTCTAATAAGACGTTTCTGAAATCACTATAGGAGGATGTCTTGCATCTCTACTATGAATCTTGGGAAATTCAAAACCATTTTTATATGGCATCTTTCCATAAAGAGAGTAGGTGGTTTTTTTTTTCCCTCTTTCCTGTAAGGTAGTACACAGTTCATTTTCATAACATGATTTATAGAGTTTGAGACAATATATAGGTTTTGCTTAACAAAGATAATCTTTGGAGAAACAAGACGTCTTCACCCTAACACGGTCCAGAGAAAAATCATCCTTGTTGTATTCTGGTGAAAACATGGGCAAGGAAGAACACGCTTCCTGAGTGGGGAAAAAAGGTTGTCTCAGAGGCTTTCTGCTCCTGAGGTTTGGCCATGACTTTGGTCAAAACTGTGTTCAGATTCCCCAGAAAAGTGCTCAGAAAAGTTTTACTTTAAATTTCTTTATAAAATAGGAGAAATACATTAATTATATCTAGTAGTTTGTGGAGTGCACAGATAACCTCAGAAGACCTGATATAAATAGATGTGGGAGGACAGATTAGACCAATTAGCTTTCTTTCATTTTGAGGAAGGATCAGAATTGTCTGAGGGGCAGTGTCTACATATGGAATGTGACAGACCAGATTGGCTTGCATTTTCTCACGCCATTAGGAAGATTGAAATTTAGCACTGTTTGAGACAAACATAATTAGAGCAGGAGCTTCTGGATTTGGCTTCTTTGGCAACTGTGTGGTCAAAGTATGGTAAAAAGAAGTCACTGCGTGTGAAAGTTTTTTTAGTTCTGAGTTGTCATCTATTAAGTTGTTTCTCTGAGAGGATGGCATTTTCAGACCAGAGGTGTAATTTCTGGTTTAATTAGATGAAGCCTTTTTGTTTTGTTTCCGTTTCTGCCATTAGATTTTCCTGCTCTTCTACAATGGGTGTTTAATATGGAGTTCATGGGTCCTGTGATGGACTATTTTCTTGACATTGTCTACAGAATTTGGTGGGCATCTGGATTTTGTATGTGTGTGAGTGCATTTGTGGAGCGGATTCATATTTTACATTAAGTTTTCAAGTCTAATGCTCTGTGACTCCCAAAGATTAACAGAAAAGCTACTAATTTAGAGACTAATCATTGTTCCCTCATTTGGAATGCAGCCCACTTTGCCCCAAGAGCCTTCAGAGTCACATGGCCCTGTTCAGTTCTCTATTTCTTATGAAGCCCATGGATAACTGATAGCCTTTATTGTTATGCAAATTTGACGTGGGATTGAGCGTCAACCCTTTAAATTACTGTGTGGATTTTCAAGCTGAAAATTATTGGATACCATATGTATCATTTCTCCGTTGGCTGTTCCTGTGCTGTACTCTGCTTTAGCTCTGGTCTTTAGACAATGATCACCTGACAATAATCTACCCATGAAAATCTTCAGCAGTATATTATTTTTTTAATGTTTTTATTTATTTTAGAGAGAAAGGAAGAGAGAGGGAGAGAGAGATGGAAACATCAAACATCGATCAGCTGCCTCCTGCGCACCCCCTACTGGGGGCGGGGGTCTGACCGGGAATCAAACCATCGACCTCTTGGTCATGGGTTGACACTCAACCATTGAGCCACACTAGCTGGGCAGCAGTATATTCTTATCTTTGTACCTGTAATCTATCCTGAGCTCTATAATTGGTTTTTAAGAGAAAGTTCTTTTTCTTGTATCTTTTTTTTTTTCCTGCCTGACAGAAATTAGATACCTTAGGCAGGAATTCTTTAAGAGATATTTCAGGAGCTTCAATACCTTCATTCTTTTGTTGGTTGATTTTGGTTGTCCTTTATCTTCCCTTCAGCAAGATTTATTCAAGTGGAGGAAGGCTAGAAGAGGAAGGTTGCCGAGGGATTAGATGAGCGGGTGCTAGGGGGACTTTCTGTTCCTGCCAAATGATCTTTTCTACAAAAGTATGGAACATTTTTCTTTTAATTTCCCAATCATAGTGTGAATTCTTCTTTGCCAAATGGTTTTTGGGGCTTTGCCTAAGCCCCATGTGCCAGAGTCGAGGATTCATCTTGGCCAGACATTGCCACATATTGAGGAGGGAGCCATTTCCAGGAAAGCTCCCAGAACTGGGGCTCCTAGAAATCTTTCCTTGATTGTGTGAGCCAGGCCTTGACACTTTTGACCATCTGGAAAACTTTGGACCGAAGCACCAATATCTGTCTCATACCTATTTTTCTTTTCGTTTCCTAAATTTAAAAAAAAATCTTTTTCATTTGAGTTATATCTTTATTACTATTTTAAATATGCAGTCCAAGAAGAAATGTATGCCTGAGGGCTGCAAAGAAATTCGTCAGGAGAGGAGTTGATGTCCCCTCTGTGGGTATACATTGTTATTCTTTGTGCCATGATGGTGCTCAGTGAACAGTTTTAGAAGGAATAAGTCCGAAAACTTTTTACTGATGTACTATAAGTGGCAGAGTGTTTCTTTTTTCAGGTACTCTTGGACAAGTAATGGTTTTATCTCTCTTTTCTTCACTCTCCCTACTGTGTGCTTTTTGTAGTGTGCATCTCTGTTTATCTGATGCTACAGTCATTGCCCCACTCTGTTTCCACAGCCTCTGTTGTTTGCAGTGGTGATCAATCTGTTTATTACTAGATGCAGATAGCATCTCCAGAATGCTGTGAAGTGGAGTTGGAACAACCAAGGAAAATTTTATTTTGCTGTGGCTATCCTTGATGTACTGTTCATTCGTAGTCTGCTTCTAGTACTTTCAGTACTTTTCCTCATGCCAAATATAAAAATGACCCTAGCTGTCTTGAAGAAATAGTTTGAGTATTGCTCATTTAAAAAAAATTTTTTTTAACTTTTCTGTAAATTAGCCATTTATACGTATTAATATATTTAACCTTTTTTTTAACCTTTTAGGTAGCATACACTTATGAATTTTCTTGATAAATCACTTAAAATGATCTATGTATTAAGCACGGTATTAAATATAAGATGTCTTTTGCCTACAGAGTGGTTATAGTCTGTTTCAGAGATTAGGACACACACACTCAACAGTTAGTGAGTGAAATGGTATTATATACTCTAGTGCATATTATTCATAGAATAAAATACTTTTGTATCATTGAAAATTAAATATTCAGTTGTCATTTTCTGAGTGGCTGCCATGTGCTAAGCATTGGTATTGAAAGATAAGTAAAGTTTAGCGCCTTGTTACCAGTGACCTGAGCTTGTGCTGTGGTGAGTAACACTGGAAGGCCACCCCCACGATAAAAGGTAAAGAAACCTCGGATCACAGGGGCCAGCAGCCGCTGGGAGATGTAAAGTGGCCCAGTTTTCAGTGCTCTGTCCCTGATGATTGTATAGACCCCAAGCATAGATCTAGACCAGTGGTCGGCAAACTGCGGCTCGCGAGCCACATGCGGCTCTTAGGCTCCTTGAGTGTGGCCACGAAGTTTCGATCGCACTGTACGTGCACACCCGCACGTGATATTTTGTGGAAGAGCCACACTTAAGGGGCCGCAGTTTGCTGACCACTGATCTAGACCATTTAATCCTCACCAGGATTCTGCCTGGGATGTGGTCATTCCCAGTGTATCACAGTCTGTGTCTTTCCAGCTGAAGTCCTTTTTGTCTTTTCCTTATCACGTCGTGGTGCACTTTGCTTTCCTGTGTTCATGTTGCTTGACCTTGTGCTCCAGGAGGATGTTGTTGAACCACTGGGTCCTACTCTCCTCACAGGTGCTTTCTGATGCTGCTAATGCCGACTGGTAACCTACAACATCCTAGATCTGTCAAAGCGGCCATATTATTCATAGAATAAAATACTTTTGTATCATTGAAAATTAAATATTCAGTTGTCATTTTCTGAGTGGCCACCATGTGCTAAGTATTGGTATTGAAAGTTAAGTAAAGTTTAGCGCCTTGTTCGATCCAGGCTCATGGTTTTCTTCCCTGTTTTGGTTTTCTTTTCTTTTTTAACTGGGGCTCTATACAGTCAGTTTTTATTCTGTGTTCTCTGTGCTGCATTTCTTTGGAAAACCCCTTCAAGCTAACAGTGGGGATGATGAAAGCGCTGGCAGCTCCGCCTGGCAGCCCCTTTCCCTTAGCTTTCGGCACTTTTCGTTGGCAGAACTCAGCTTTAGAGAGGTCGGAGCTTACCTGGAAGAGAACAAAGTCGTTTCTCTGGCAATCCACAGGGATGACCCACCTCTGGGCTCCAGGGGTCAGCTTAGTCATGTGACTTGCAGGATAAGGCCGTCCTGAGGGAAGGTAACTTCTTCTGCCTTTGCCAACTTTGGAAACAATGTGTTCTGTTTATTCGTGTTCCGCTATTACTGGGAGCTGAATCATGTTTTAGTTGAGATTAGTGCAGGTTGAATCATATGATATAGTCATTTTTGTAGTGAAAAAGAGTCAAATATTGGCAAAATCATCTGCTCCAATCTAATATCTTACCCATGGACAGGAATCTGAACTAACTTGCAGCTTGCTTCTCTTAATGCTGAGCTTCGGGAAAGTATTGCAGATGCTGTCCTAAGTGACTGTAGTGGAAAGTCAGTCCTAAGAGTCCTCTTTCTCGTGCTTCCTAGGTCACCCTGCACCTGAACCCCATCTCCTCAGTGCACATTCACCGCAAGCCTGTCGTGTTCCTGCTCAACTCCCCGCAGCCCCTCACCTGGCATCTGAAGACAGAGCGGCTTGCTGTTGGCGTCTCCAGACTCTTTTTGGTAAGTGTTTGAAGCCTCCCCACAGAGATCCTTAGCACAAGGATGTCATGACCCTAAAACTCTGCAAGGCTTTTTCATTGAAGTGATACCAGAAATAGTGTTTTAAATTTGGAGTCTGCTCATAGTGATATTTGGATGACATCGATAAGCTTTCACGGAAAACAAACACCACTCACATGCCTTCTCTGTGGATGGAGAGACAAGCCCAGTTTGCACGTTAGAGTGGGACCCATGGTCAGACTCTGTGTGGCCTGAGCTTTGGTCTCGGCTCTAAGACTCCCCTCGTGGCATCGTGAGCAATGTAAATATTGTAAATAGCCACTGGGTGTGTGGTCTCTGACCACAAACTAACGACGCGCAGGCCCATTCTATTTGTATATATAACACGGGCCTCGTTTCTGATACGAGGTTCTGTTTGTTGAGAAAGTGACACAGTGAGCTCCAAAATGAAAACATTTGTATTTTATAAAAAAGCTGGAACCCAGCTCTTGTGGAAAGATCCAAATATTACCTACTATTTGTAAATCATGTCCTTTTGAGTTTGCCAGAACATTCAAGTTTGCTGGTTGTGGAGAAATTGATGGGTTGTTTGGATGGATTTTTGGGGTATGATATCATGTCTGATGATGAGCAACACTGCACTTCACGGTGATAGCTCACATTGTCTATTGGTAGAGCTACATGCTAATGTCCTCAAGTACAGAGCCGTCGGCTGTTTATACCTCTCTCGCCCACAAGCATTCAGAATAGTAAGAGGCCTCAGTTAATAGTGTTTCTCTGGCATTCTATGGATACATTTTTCCTAATTAATCAATCCAGATCTGTAGTTTTTTGTCACGTGTATTTGAAGAGTACTTTCAAAAATCCAGTGGTACCCATTAAATAAAGGAAAAATCCATAATCACTGCAGTTAATAAGTAGGTAAATAGATGAGTAGAAGGGGGAAGATCCTCTTTATAGTGGGATGCTCTTCAATAAATGTTGCAGGAATGATGGAGTTAGAAAACCATCATTTTGCAACCATCATAGTAAAAGTTGTTTATGCAAGAGTCACCAATACAAGCTAAGTCAGTGGAGGTGGAGGGAGTGTGGGGGACAATATATTTGCAAGTCTTATTAATAGCAAATGAAAGGACTTATTAATAACAAGGGAAAAAACGGTAACTAAACGTAGTGGAGATACCAGCAGTGCCTTCACCAAGGGATCAGGATCACATCACCATGGTGCAGACGGGCGCTGTGCACCTCCAGGTGTGAGAACAGAGAACAAACACAGCATCGCTTGCGTAGCATTGAACCTAATCGGGAGGAGACGTTGCAGAAGAACAGATTGAGTGACATTCTACAAAATCACTGGCCTGTGCTCTTAAAAATGTGAGTCATGAAAGACAAAGAGAGGCTCAGGTGCCATTCCAGACCGAAGGAGACTCAGAAGACACAGGCGATCCTGCCCTGGATCCTCTTGGGAAGGGAAGGGGCCATTGCCCTAAAGCAGTGGTCGCCAGCTGGTGGTCCGCGGACCCCTGGTAGTCCCTGAGGTCTGAAAGGTTGGCGACCGCTACTCTAAAGGACGTTATTGGGATAACAGGCAAAGCTGGACTTGGGCTTATAGATTGAAGTGTTGTATCAGCGTTACATTTCTTTTTTTTTTTTTAAATATATTTTGAGGTCTGAAAGGTTGGCGACCGCTGCTCTAAAGGACGTTATTGGGATAGCAGGCAAAGCTGGACTTGGGCTTATAGATTGAAGTGTTGTATCAGCGTTACATTTCTTTCTTTTTTTAAAATATATTGTATTGATTTTTTACAGAGAGGAAGGGAGAGGGATAGAGAGTTAGAAGCATCGATGACAGAGAAATATCGATCAGCTGCCTCCTGCACACTCCCCACTGGGGATGTGCCCGCAACCAAGGCACATGCCCCTGACCAGAATCGAACCTGGGACCCTTGAGTCCGCAGGCCGATGCTCCATCCACTGAGCCAAACCGGCCAGGGCCAGCATTACATTTCTTGAACTTAATAATTGAACTATTGTTATATAAGAGGTTATCCTTCTTAGGAAACATACTACACTTAAGTATTAAGGGATAAAGGGCCAAATAATTCAAAAAAGCATCCGATGTATAGATAGACTAATAAAGCAAATATAGCAACACGTTGGGAACCGGAGAATCTAGTTTAAGGGTACGTAAGAGTTCTTGTACGATATTTGCAATTTTGTAAATGTGACTTTATTTCACAATAAAAAGTTTTTAGCTCAAAAGTACATTTATAAAGTAGTAGTTACTAATAACTTAAATTATAGCCTTTTTGGGAATTAAAACTCTCATCACTTCTAAATTATAAAGGCCAAAAGTCAGAGTTGTTGCTATCACTAGCACTTCATTTAGCTCTTGGTATTACAGTAAGCCCTCTGATACTTTATCTCATTTAATTCTCACAACAACCCTGTGATGATGTGGGTGTTAACCTCATTTAACAGATGCATTTGCAGAGGAGGAACTGAGACTTAGAGAGGCTAAGTAGGGACCTAAATAACGACTAGAGTTGGGACTCAACCCAGGTAGGACTTCCTCTACAAAAATCAAATGGTAAATTGGCTCCCTTCATATTCATTGTCAGTCTCTTGTAATTAAAGATATTTGTGATCACACGGTCCCATTTAGCCCTTATAATGCAGAACTATGCTATCCAATATAGTGTGGCTGTTTAAATGTAAACGAAAACCAGCAGTACGGTTTCTAGGCACATGAGCCGCATTTCAGGTGCTCAGTAGCTACGTGAAGCTTGAGGCTACACACTGGGCAAGGAATGAAGAGTTTTGAGTAAAGGCTTTACCTGTCCTGGTTTGAATCCAAGCAGTAACCTGGGGCAAATAATTTAATTAATCTAAGCCTGACTTTCCTCAGTTGTAATATAGGAATGGTAATAGTTCCTACGTCTCCGGGTTACTATCTTGATGAAATGAGATTAGATATAAAATGTTTACTGCAGAGTTTGGCACCGATAACTTCAGAGACATTACCTGCCCTCTCTGTTGCTATTTATTATTTGTCATAGTAAGGAACACTTGGGAAGGATGTTGAACTTACATTTATAATCATGAAGCCAGCCCTACCTTGAAAGGAGTTCCAGTTTCTCTGGGCTGTAGGTCCAGAGAAAATGTGTGAGCCACCTGTAGCATCATTGACTGGTCATTTTCTGGGTTCCTTCTTCAACCTGCCCTTCCATGGGTTCTGTGGGAAAGCATCTTACTCTTAATTATTACTTATCTGATTTAATTTTGTTAAAGATCTGTTAAGAACTGCCTCTTGGACATCAGTTTAAGGCACACTAACAAGGGGGGGGGGGACAGTTTTTGTAAACAATTTAACATCATCTCTGATGGAAGTTAATCCCATGTAAGGAGAATGCAGATCAAGGGATAAATTTAAAAGTACCAACATGGGAAAAACCAAGGATTTAAATTCTGGGACATCTGAACTCGGCCCTGTTGTCCAGCAGGCTTTCTTTAGGGAAAATGGCTTTCTCTCCCATCTGTACGTTTGTTTGTTTTTAATTGTTTAAAGTTTTACATATGTCTCCTTTTTCCCGATTGACCACACCCCCCTGCCACTCCCACCCCAAGGGCAAGCCCCCACCGCCCCAGTCTCTGTGTCCATTGGTTACGCTAATATGCATGCATTCAAGTCCTTTGGTTGATCTCTAACCCTCCCCCCTCCCCTGACATTTATCTCTGGATCTATTTTTGTTCATCAAATTATGTTGATTATTATATTCCACATATGAGTGAGATCATGTGATACTTGCCTTTCTCCGACTGGCTTATTTTGCTTAGCATAATGCTCTCCAGTTCCATCCATGCTGTTGCAAATGGTGAACGTCCCTTCTTTTAAATAGCGGCATAATATTCCATCGTGTAGATGTACCACAGTTTTCTAATCCATTCATCTGCTGATGGGCACTTAGGCTGTTTCCAGATCTTCGCTATTGTAAATTGTGCTGCCATGAACATAGGGGTGCATATATCCTTTCTGATTGGTGTTTCTGGTTTCTTGGGATATATTCCTAGAAGTGGGATCACTGGGTCAAATGGGAGTTCCATTTTTAACTTTTTGAGGACACTCCATACTGTCTTCCACAGTGGCTGCACCAGTCTGCATTCCCACCAGCAGTGCACAAGGGCTCCTTTTTCTCCGCATCCTCTCCAGCACTTGTCGTTTGTTGATTTGTTGATGATAGCCAATCTGACAGGTGTGAGATGGTATCTCGTTGTTTTGATTTGCATCTCTCGGAGGATTAGTGACTTTGAGCATGTTTTCATATGTCTCTTGGCTTTCTGTATGTCCTCTTTCAAAAAGTGTCTATTTTGGTCCTTTGCCCATTTTTTGATTGGATTGTTTATCTTCCTTTTGTTAAGTTGTATGAGTTCTCTGTAAATGTTGGAGATTAAACTCTTATCTGAAATAGCATTGGGCAGCTCCCCTGAGAGTGCGCTAAGTGAAGAAGGCGGGACTCTTGCAGTCTGAAGGGAATTTCAGGGCCTACTCTTCCACTGGGCATTCACAGCAGCAGAGGCATCAGCTGCTGGGTAGAGAATCACAGTGTGTTCTGTTTATAGTAGTTGAGTAACAGTGTGGAGATAACTAAATTATTTTGCATAAAGTGTTTTGTCCAAACACCTCAGAAGACCCATGGATTCTTTGGAAATTTGGCTATTTCCATCACTGTCCTCTCCAAGGTTAGAAACCTTAGAGGAGCTGAGGAGAGATGCTGGGTCTCTTGACTCTGGTTTAAGGTGCAGAGGCCCTTGCTTCCTTCCTGATGTGCTGCTGAAGGATTTGTGTTGCCGTCTTAAAGCTGTCTTTACTTTCTAGGTAGAGTTACAATACTTGAACAGATTTTTTTTTTTAAAGTAAGGTGATGAGAAAAGTTCAAATAATGGCATCTACTCACCCATCAGGGTGACTTTTTAATTTAAGTCAAATGCCTGCATTGTTT